AGAGAGAGAGAGAGAGAGAGAGAGAGAGAGAGAGAGAGAGAGAGAGAGAGAGAGAGAGAGAGAGAGAGAGAGAGAGAGAGAGAGAGATCCTGCCTGTGGAGAGAACTCCTCACTACCTCCCGCACGTCTAGTACCTTTGCCCTTACAAGAGGTAGTGAGGAGAGAACTGCCTGAGTGTCTAGTACCTTGCCACACACCCTTCACCCACCCCCTCACCTCCCACACAAAAAAATAATATTTCAGTATTTTACTATTTTCCTTCAGCAGGACAGTGTAGAAGAACCGTGAACAACACAATTCCATAAATGCCTTTGAAAACACAAGACTATCTCAAGAACCAGCAAGAAGAAACAGTGCACCCCAAACAACTCCCTTTCCAGGGGCAGATAACATGAGGTAAGCCGGTAGCTAGGGTGAGGTGAAAAAAAATATTGAGAGAGGAGAATAGCGTAGTGATATGGATGTGCCCCCATATATGAGGAGAAGACAGCTATTCATTCATTAAGGGAAAAAAAAAAAAAAAAAAAAAAACCTCCCTCTCCCTCCTCAGAGATCACCTCTCCCATTTCATACCGCCGGCAGCCACCCCAACCTCTTCCCTTTCAGCCTGTAGGACCGCATGGTGGACGAGTAAGTTCTACAGGCAATCACCACAACCTTTCCTTTTTTCTTTTTCTGTTTTTTTTTTACTTAAAAAAAAAAAACTAAGCCATATTCTTCACTCGTATGCCCCTCACTCTACCTGTCCTTCCTAACTAAGTCCTAAATCCAGTTGCTAGCTTTTTATTGGTTGATTGTAGTCTATCTATGCACACCAGCCGGGGCCCCTAAGGGTTCACACGTGGTTAACCAGGGGTGTTATTTTCGACGAATTTTGCACCGAAATGCACTGAAACTGTCATATTGTGCTGATTTTTTGCTTTTTTTCTTCTTGTTTTTCTTTTTGTGTGAGATATATGTGCTTTAGGGTACGTACGGCGAATATTTGGGCCCCCGTTAACCGTCTCTCGGGCAATGGATGGGGGGGGGGAGGATCCGACCCCCTACCAAACCCTACCGGGGGGGGGGATTCGCCCCCCCTACCAAACCCTAAACCAGGGGCCCCGAAACGAGTAACTTAGCTAGTGAACCCGTAGTGAGCTGCAGGAGGCCGTAGCGGCTCGAATGAAGACCGCGAAAATTGAACCCACGACCTCCTGAATGCCCCTCTCGTGCTCTACCAACTGAGCTAGGCCTCTAGGCCCACCAGAACCTTTAGACCACCACAGCCTTTCCTTGATTGAGAAGCCAGACTAATAATTCTTATTTCTCGTAATTTCTACTAATTTTTATTATTTTTTACTCGTTCAGTGAACCTCGTCTGATTTACACTTTTTTTTTTTTTTTTTAAGTAATAATAAACGTGCTAGAGCTGATGTTCTCGCTTCAGCTGAGAGTCTGGTTTTTCCTTTTATAAATTTTAAATTTACGAAAAAACAGAACCTTATGGTTCGGCCTCCATATCCATTCCACCGGAGCATCAGTTCCGTTCCTTATCCATCCGCAATTCTCGCCCCTGAGGGGAATATTCCGATTTTATTCCTAATATAGTAATATATCATGTACACACTCCACCTGGGAGTCTATTGAACTTCTCGCCTTTCGTTTTTTTTTTTTTTTTTTTTTCCCCCTTTTTTTCCCGACTTCGAACTTCATTTAGTTTATATTTGACTACACAAAGTAAAATTTCTGCTTTTGCTTTTGCTTTTGCCTGTCTAAGCTTATAAGCTTATTTGTATTGCTTGTCAAAACTATTCTACAAACACCTTGGTCAACTCAATCTTCCTATATTTAGTATTTAGTAGTCAAATATAAAAATTCTATAAAATTGGTATTTACTATTTAGTAAATTGTACTCGATCTTCCTACAAACACCTTGGTCAACTCAATCTTCCTATATTTAGTATTTAGTAGTCAAATATAAAATTCTATAAAATTGGTATTTAGTAGAATAGTATTTGTAGATTAGCATATTGAATACTCTATTGAGCGAAAATATTAAAATAAGAAACTCGATCAAATTGGTATTTACTATTTAGTACTATTTAGTATTTAGTATTTACTTAATTTTATTATTGACTATTTATTTGCTAACTTTGAAGAACCGGCTTTTGGCACTGATTTGGGGAGGTCTCAGATGTGGATGTTTCTTAGTATCTTATCTTGTGCCAATGCTTCTTTGAGCCCTCCAATAGCTCTGGAGGGCTCATGCGCAGTACTTTTCCGGTACGGATTCTTTGAGCTTCCGACTTCAAAGAAGTGAGTGGCGCTATGTCTGCAGCAAACAGGAAGCTCAAAGAATTTGCTGTAGACATAGCGCGACGCACAATTTGAGCTTCCAACTTCAAAGATAAATAATCCGTACTTTCCTGTACGCTTTTGGGGGGGGGTCTCATACGTGGATGTTTCTTAATATCTTATCAAAGTTATCATGCTTTGGAGGGCTCATGTGCGGTACTTTAAAAAGTTCAAAATTTGAAGTTTGAACAACTTTTCCTGTACGGATTATTTATCGTTTTAAACTTCGAAGTTTTTGACTTTTTTTTAGTGTTTTTAACCTTTTATGATATATTTAACATATATGAATCAGGATCTAAGTTTCGAAAGATAAACAATCCCTTTTCGATTTACAGATTGTCATTCACTTCAAACAAAATAAAAAAAAATAAAAAAATCATTCACTTAAGTGACTTAACTATAAACAATGCCTTACCCAAAAAAAAAAAAAAAAAAAAAAAAAACTAAGGGTTAAAGGCTGTTACCAGGGCCCCGCACTGTACCGGCCCCAAATTTCTTAGCCAATGCACAACTCCATAGACTCCATATTAATGGAATGAATCCATTCCTCATAGTTTCTTGAACTTTCTTCTTCCTTACGAAGTTAAGAGTGGTTTTGCTGTTGTTTTTGTTCTTCGTCTTCCTCCTCCGCCTCTTCTTCTTCCTCCTTGTACCTTAGTCATCAGCATCAATCTGCAACTCACAATTTCTTCTGCTTTAAGAGTGGTGGTGCTAGTAGTCTAGTACAGTTGTTGGTGTTGTTGGTGTAATTGTCGTTTACAGTATTATTATGATCACCCCCTCCTCCTCTCAGTATTATTATTATCACATCCTCCTCCTCCTCCTCCTCCTCCTCCTCCTCCTCCTCCTCCTCCTCTGCCTCCTCCTCTTCTGTGTCCTCCTCCTTCGCTCCTCCTCTTGCTCCCTCTCCTTGTTCGTAAATGTGGTCTTAACAGGCAGCACTATTTTTAAAAATCTAAGCTCAGTCCCAGCTTACCATCTCCTGCGAAACCCGTTTCCATTGTTGTTCTATCTTGAGCAAATAGCTTCTGCGGCCTCGTCAAGGCAATCGTCTTGTTCGTTCGGCTGATGTGCACCTTCATTCCCTTCAGAAACTGCCCTGTCACGTTGCGCGACGTGTCACATGTGCATGTGCATGCGCATTAGAGCAGGACAACCAACCAGCTACTGAACAGAATGGAAACATCGCAACAAAACAAACAAACAAACAAAAAAACAAAAAAAAAAACAAAACAAAAAAAAAAAACAGCGCAAGAAATCGTCATGTCCATGGGCTACTGAACAGAATATGGCAACATCACAAAAAAATCCAAAAAGTTTCAAAACCAAAACTTCCTTCTTTGAATTCTGTGAATTCTTTCAGCAAAAAAAGAAAAGGGAAAAAATAAACAAGAAATGGTTAAGCGACAGTCTCAGCAGTTCATCATCCTTTTTTTTTTCTTTTTTTTTTTTTTCTTTTTTTAAAAGAACAACCTGATCGGATGCTAGGTGTGCTGATAAGAGCAGACACAACTAGCGCCGTCAGGGAGGCTCCATCTATTGGTGGGGAGCAGCACCTGCTGGAAATCGGGTCCAGCGTCCCATCGGATACATGCTTCTTTTTTTTTTAAGCGTCACCTGCTGGAAAACGGGTCCAGCATCCCTGTAAACAGTCCACTGATATATTACATGCCACCTGCGCATTCTACTGTAGTCCCCAGTAATTGATGAACCAGCACGTTGGCATGCACAAGTCAAATTGTTGTGCAGCATTGATTGCCCCATTGCCTAACCTTCGCAGGCCTAAGCGAGAGTTGCCCCAGCTGGAACTTGGTCCAACTCTGTAACCCGAGAAATTTGAAATAACCCCTGTTACACTGCGGAATTTTGCAGGCCCTAGTGCTGGTCCCCCCGGTTGAGTATCATACCACCCTCTCCAGCTGACGTTGTTCTGCAGGTTGCCTTATGTGCCAGGATGAGGGTACCCACTACTCTGCACCATGTTCTGTGTACTTCCGTCGCGGGTTTATGCTGGTGTGCAGGCAGTTCCACACTTCTTCGCAGGACAACTTTTGTTGGAGCAGCCCTATCTCCGAATTTACCTCCCCCTTGTCCAGGCTTGTCATTGTATCTGTAGGGATGATGGAGGCTGCATGCGCTCCTTGCAGTCGTCCGAAGTCTCTTTGTCCGACGTTTGATACTGTGGCCATCCCCCGAAGCGGACTTGATCAGGTCTTTGGAGTAAGTGGTAGAAGCGGTCTTCAGCAGCTGCGATAGGTAGAAGTCCAAGAAGCGTAGTAGTAGTTCAAGTGTCAAAGTCCAAGTGCTAGGGTGCGTCCGTACACGAACTGCAATGAGGTCTGATCTGGAAGCAAGGAAGTCGCAGACTGATGCAAAGATCCATGTCACAAGTTGCTGCTCCAGTAAGTCCGCGAGTTGGGGATGCCGGCCAATGAAACAGCATGGTGGCCAAACCAGCTGCATAATCTCCATGAACAGTGAGGCAGCAGGCCATCGTCCTCGTGCGCTTGCCATTAGATCCTTTATCGCCGGCGTCACGCAAGTTCACAAGCATTGGACAAGAGAGACAAGGTAGTCGAGAGGACAGATTGAACAAGGCTAGGCGAGGGCAAGGGCAGATCAGACATCAGGAATGAGGATCAAGGGAAGGGTGGACTGGGTTCAAGGGTGTGTGTAGAGCAGGGTTGCAAGGGTTTTTAGCGGGGGTTTATGCCATAGTGATATAGGTATCCATGGCGGGGGTTTATGCCATAGTGATCTAGGACATAGGATTAGCACGATCATAGGCGCGGACAAGTTTCATGGCGTTCTTAAGATTAGAGAGAGGTTCCCATGTAGATTCTTCGTCGGGGTATCCGGTCCATTTGACTTTGTATTCAGTGATTGGTTCCGGATGATCAGA